TTGTAGTATTTGCAAAATAAAAAAAAATCCCTCCGGGGATTTAAAAAAAATGAAAAGAAAGAAGATTCACCCTTGAAAGATTTATGACAGGATTCACACAGTTTACCTCAACTTCCTCCTTTTTAACCAGATAATTTACACCTGATAGACATGTGATAGATATCACACCTTAATGCTGACTGTCAGTTCTACGCTCCTCTGAGGTCTGTGCCTTAGGCGGCCACCTAGTTGGCCTAATGGTAGTACTGGCCCTGTCTGCATGTCATATGATTTCCTCCATTGGAGGGGCATACATTCTATTAAATTTTTATAGAAGTCCCATAGAAGCTTTTCAAGGTTCAAGTTTAATATTTTGCCTAGTTTTATAACAGAAGAAATTTAAAACAAGAAAGACAACTAGGACAGAAATGGGGTTAGGGTTGCCAACTTCCAGGTGGGGCCTGGATTTCAACTGGAACTACAATTGATCTCCAGATTGCAGACATCAGTTTCCCTGGAGGAAATGCCAGTTCCAGAAGGTGGACTCTATGGCATCACATCCTTGCTGAGTGCTCTCTCCTCCCCAGGCATGGCCCCCAAATCTCCAGGAATTTCCCAACCCAGAGATGGCAATCCTAATGTTGACCAGTCAAATCTACAAAGTTTGTGTTAAGAACTTTTTTCCAGTCAGATTTTTAAGTTTCACCTCCAACATCTCTCTTTAAATTAGCCTGGTTTAACACAAATTCTTGATTTAAAGCAAATCTATAACCTCTTAAAACGAATTTTATGACCCTCTTGTGGAAAGCTGCTTTTATTTTAAAGTTGTGTGGTGAAAACTTCATCAGTCATCATACAGTACAATAAGTGACAAAGATATATATATATTTGGTGTCGGTAGTCTTGTTATGGAACTAGTAGAGGAAATTCAAAATAAAATATCAAAATATTTGCACACTGTCATAGAGGATATTTTAGCGTAAAAAATACATGAGACTTTAACATTCCTGTGACTTGTAGTAAACATATTAAAAATACATTAACTTGATCTCATAGTTCCCCAGACACAAAATTTCTTTTAGGTATTTGTACTTGAAATTGTTTTAACAATTATGACTTTGCCCTTTTTTAAAATTTTCACAGAAGGCTGCTGACAAGCAATAAGGAAGCAGAATTTGGCCACAGTATCGTCACCAAATGCATCATTTGGTCTTCATACCCATGAGACACAAAAGATGCCAGAGATGTTGGTACTTGTTCAAAACATCACAAGACTTCAGTGTGGACTGGACACACCTATCTTTCCCAGGCTCTGCTGTTGTCATTCCTCTTTTTTGAAGGAAAATCAGAGAGAGCCTTTCCTTTCCCTAGCAGCACAAAAAGATTTCCCTTCAATACAGCATGTCCTTTTGTTAAGAGAGTACAATGTTTAAAACAATTACAAATCAGGCTAGAGTTTCCAGGTCCTCCCTGGCCACCAGCAGGGGGGGTTGCCAGCCCCAAATTGATGATGAAGAAACAAATTGTTGCAGAGGGAAATAGAATGTTTAATAACTGTACAATCACATGCAGCTTCATCAGGGGGAATAATTGTACAATTATTAAAGATTCTATTTCTCTCTCCAACAATTTGTTTCTTCATGTTCTTTTTTGCTTTGGTGTGGCCCCCCGTCTCTCATCAGCTCCAAAATGGGAAAATCCTGGAGGTTTGGGGATGGAGCCTAGGGAGGACAGGGACCTCATTGGGGTGCAATGCCATAATGTCCACAGTCCAAAGCATTTATTTTCTTCAGGGAAACTGATTTTTGTAGTCTGGCGATCAGTTGTGATTCCTGGGGATCTCCAGGTCCCACCTGGAGGCCAGCATCCCTAAATCAGTCTCATTTTTTAAATTTATGGGCTTAGAGGCTGTTTGTTTTCTTTATTTTTACAAACAGTATTTTCATGCCACTACCCCACATTCACATTTTTGACACAAGATTCTGTTGTGAAATATCCAGTTTCAGGTTTGTAGGCATCCTCTATCATTGTGAAAGTTCTGATTCATAGTTTGCAATGTTGCACATTTTTCACCCACACATCAAAAGGTGCCAGCATTCCCAGAGCCATTATAATTATTAAACACTAGGAATAAGGCCCATTGTGGAAATAAATAACAACGAGTTCTTGAAAGAGGCTCTGGGCGGGTGCCCTGGTTTTAGGCACAGTGTCAATTTGCTGTGGCGACCTCAGCAGGGTATAATGACACAGAGCCTACCGTTTTCTCCAGGAACTGATCTCTGCCATCTGAAGAGCAGTTGTAACTGTGAATGGTCTAGAGCCCTCCCCTGGAGATTGGCAACGACGGTTCCCCAGGAGGAAATGGCTGGTTTGGAGGGTATTGTACCTATCTTGGAGGTAGCAACCCTATCTCCTTCCCAGCCAACCATCAACGTACTGTTATCTGCCCCTCTGACTTCAGCTTTCCATCTCCCCCCACACACCTGAAGCCTCTTCCTAGGAAAAGTACAGTCTTTCTCCTCCTCAGTGGGGACCCAATCAGGAGAGGAAATGACCTCAGCAGGGTATAATGACTAAGAGTGCATCCTGCAAAACAGCCATTTTCTCGTCTGGAGAGCAGTTTTAATTCTGAGTGATCTCCAGCCCTCACCTGGAGAATGGCAGCAATGGTTCTTCAGGAAGAAATGGCTGGTTTGGAGGATGGAGTCTATGGCATTGTACGTGTCTGAGGTCCCACCTCTCCAAAAACCCCACCCTCTCCAGGCTCCATCTGTTAAATAGTGGGTTTAACACAGCAGAGGTGAAGGCATAGTGATTTCAGCAAGCAGCACTTTATTGCATTTCAAAGGGAATACTTTACATGGGGCAACTGCCCTAACTATATACACCTAAGGCACTCCCAGCCCCCATGCAATTGGTGAGTTAAAATGGCCTCCAGGCTCCAGATTGGCTGGCTATTCTCAGGGGCCAATCTGCAGGCAGGTTCCAGGATCCTGCCTTTGTTCTGGGGCTTCAAGATACAACTAGTTGGCCTGCCCGAACAAGCCCAGACATGCCTCCAGCAGCAGTTAAGCCAGAGTGGAAGATTGCTCATGTCCAGATATAACCCCATCCCTCAAATATTCAGGAATTTCCCAATCCGGAGGTGGCAGCCCTATTTCCTTCCCAGCCAACCATCAACCTACCTTTATCTGCCCCTCTAACTTCAGCTTTCCATCTCCCCCCACACACACACACCTGGAGCCTCTACCTAGGAAAACTACAGTCTTTCTCCGCAGTGGGGACCTAGCAGGAGAGAAGCGACCTCAGCAGTGTATAATGACACAGAGTCCACCCTGCAAAGCAGCCGTTTGATCTCTACCATCTGGAGAGGGGAACTGATCTCTGCTGTCTGGAGAGCAGTTTTAATTCTGAGTGATCTGCAGCCCTCAAGTGGAGATTGGCAGCAATAGTTCCCCAGGAGGAAACGTACAGTCTTTCCCTGCAGTGGAGACCAAAGTAGCTTACATAATTCTCCTCTCCTCCTTTTGATCTGCACAACAACCCTGTGAGGTAGGTTAGGCTGAAAGTCTGTGATTGGTCTGAAATCATCCACTTAACTTCCACAGCAAGAACCTGGGTCTAGTAGACCCTGCTCTGAAGCGCTAACTGCTATGCTTAGGGTAGCCAACCTCCAAGTGGAGCCTGAAGATTGCTGGGTAACATAACTGAACTCCAGACAACAGATCTCTCCCCCCCCCCGGAGAAAATAACTGCTTTGGAGGGTGGGCTCTATGGCATTCTGTTCAGCTGAAGCCTCTCCCCTCCCCAAAGTCTGGCTTCCTTCGGCGCTACCACAGAATATCCAGGAATTTCCCAACCTGGAGCTGGCAACCCTAGTCAGGATGGGTCTCCTACCTTTGCCTTGTTACTGACAGAACCAAGCATGGTTGCCTAGCAACAGCCACTGAGGGAAAAGTTAGTCCCACAGGAGCCAAGCAGGAGAAGTGTCTTCCTCAGGAGAGACAGCCATTCTGATAGTTTATTCTGTGAGAGAAGAGTGTCCAGGCTGGCAGTGGGTGGGGGAGAGGAGTGGACCCAGCCCCCAGCCAATGGCACGCGAGTACTCTTGAGTGGTGGCTGATGGGCCAATGGCTGATGTAGTGCACTGCACAGCCAATGGGAGAGCTGGAAATGGCCAATACATAAGGGAATCTCCGAAGCAAGGCCTGAGCGGCTTGCCAAAGCTTTCGAATCGCTGGGTAGATTGGGCTTTCTTTTTTTTAGACTAGAAAAAATCGATTACAATTGGTCAAGACATGGAAAGGAGGAATTTAAAAAGAAGTATTAATTTTTTAAGCCTGCTGGCTGTTTATAATTTTGTTTTTTTAATGACATTTCTTGATTTTAAATGGTTTTGTTATCCATATTAGGTCCTCTTTGATTTGGGGAAAAGTGGGATTATAAATGTTTTAAATAAATAAACGTCTGATGGAATAAATATGTAACACACTGCTTTAACTGCCTGAAGAATTAGTTATATAAGTGTTTTGCAAAACTTAGTACATTGTGACAGGGAATCGTATCCGATACACAATAAGCGAC